AATGGGAACTTCGTTCTACAGGATGTTTTATCTGGACAGCAGTTATGGCAAAGCTTTGAGCACCGAGTTAATACTTTTTTACCTGGTGCAGGTATCGGGTATGATCTTGAAACAGGTGAGAGACATGTCTTGTCATCCTGTAAAAGTAATAGTGATCAATCACAAGGGGATTTTGTCACTTAAATTGTACCGTGGTCACCACCACAAGCTTTTATTTGGAATGGATCAGTGCCTTATTGGATAAGCAGGGAGTGGAATAAATTACAGTTTATTGGTCTACCAGGTATGGATTCAACATATTCAAGAGCAATTAGCCTTGTGTTGAATAATGATCAAGAAAGTGAGAATTTCTATATAAGTCTTAACACTACAGACAGAGCTTCGGTCATTTTATCCGAAGGAACTCTAAAGATAATGTGTTGGGGGAAAGACACAGGCTGGTATTCAACATGGAAAAGACCAAATAATACATGTGATGTCTATGGAACTTGTGGACCTTTTGGGATCTGTAAAATATCTGAATTTCCTATTTGTAGCTGCCTTGAAGGATTTGTACCAAAGTCAGACGAGGAATGGAACAAAAATAATTGGACAGAAGGGTGTATTAGACGAACTGAACTAAGTTGTTTGGCAAGGACAAGTCTGGAAGCATCACAGGGTGAAGAAACAGATAAGTTTTGGGAAATGAATGCAATCGAGCTACCAGATAAGTCCAAGTATCAAGAAGTTAAAGATGTGAATGAATGTGGACAGTGGTGCTTGAATAACTGTTCTTGCAAGGCTTATGCATAGGTAATGGACATAGGCTGTCTGCTGTGGAGTGAATGCCTTATAGATATGCAACAGTTCTCCAGTGGTGGGGAAGATCTTTTCATTTGTCTTGTGTCCTCAGAATCAGGTGACAATAGAATTGACTTGAGCAATATTTTCAAAATGAATTTAGTTTCTTCTCGATTCTTTTCTTTTCACTTCAGAATGACTCATTCTTCTTTATTCATTTCATTATTCTATCTCTTCATTTTTCCCCTTCAGTATTTTTAATTCACAGGAAGCTAAGAGTAGATCTCATTACTAGTCTCAGAACAGTTTCTTGTATCATTAGCTTGGGTGCCTTAGTCTATGGTTTATGCTGGCAGAGATCAAAAACAATTGGTAAGAAACTGATTTTGAATCTTCTCATTTCAGCTAAATCTTCCCAACTATTTGTTAATTTCATGACTGACATCTACTTTCTTCCATTTTTTTGCTTTGTATAAATGGAAATTTTTACTCAGCTTTTGGATAGAATGCCATTAACTTGGGTCCTGCCAAAGCAAGATCCAGGATGAACTAGTCATCTGGTCGAGATTCTTTTTCCATAGCAATTATAGGATTTGTAGGAAACAATAACTGTCCCAAAGATAATCTTAGAAATAATTTTCTTGATGACTAGATTCCTAACTTAGTATATATTGGGCGATAACCACTGATTGCTCCTTTATGACTTTTGAGCTAAAAGCCATGAGAGTAAGCCCTATATCACTTGCTTGTCAGAAAACATTGTTACATACGATAGCCTTTCTTTTTTTGTTTTTTTCTTGTACGCTCTTTACTTTCATGGCTTGGAATAGATGAATTCATTGCTTGAATCTGAAAAATCAGGTAAAAAAGACCAAACCTTGGAAAATTTTGATCCAGATGCTAGAAGGGAGAGTCCTTGGGACACTTTGCTGGAATCTATGTTGAGAAGCATTGTTAGAAAAGGTGAGCCACAGGAGCTGCCTTTGTTTGATTTTTATAGCATAGCAGTTGTTACCAAAAACTTCAGCATGGCTAATAAACTTGGGCAAGGAGGATATGGGCCAGTTTATAAGGTGAGTAATAATATATATGTCTTTTTCAAAGAGTGCTTTATAATTCTACAAAGGTAACTAGACAACACAGCTTAAGAAATTGGGAATTATTTTAGGGAAAGCCACATGATGAAACAGATATAGCAGTCAAGAGACTCTCTAGTAGTCAAGAGACGCTCTAGTAGCTCAGGACAAGGCATAGAAGAGTTCAAGAACGAAGTCGGGTTGATTTTGAAACTACAACACAGAAATCTTGTCAGGCTAGTTGGTTGCTGTGTTGAAGCTGAAGAAAGGACACTAATTTATGAATTCCTGGCCAACAAAAGCTTGAATAATTATCTGTTTGGTAGGTTCCATTGAGAAAATTTCTTTTCTCCCTTAGTTGCATCACATCACATCTCATCATATCATTTTCTTAACCATAAAGTTTCCAGCTTTACACCTTCTTCCCTGTCCTTCACCATCTCCATCACAATTACTCTTTTCCCTTGTTAGATATCTGTTATTCTCTAACGCCATGCCTATCATCAATGTTGGCCCTCGGCACCACCAGCGTGAGGGTCTTGTGCTCAAGGACCCTGGACCTGCTGGGTTTGCTCTCATTTTTTGTCTGGCTTTGTCAAATGGAAATTCTGGGGTGAGTAATCAATAGCCGTTAGCCAAGAACAAGATTTTTACTCTCTCTGTTTGTGGTTCTGAGATTCATGGGTTTTGCTTGATATTGTTTGAAAGCTACATTTTTTTCAATAAATAAAGCTCTAGTGATGAGAAATTTGAGGATTTGCTTTAATTATCTTAAGTGGCCTTCTTTAATATAGTAGGGAAAACCGGAATTTAGCAGATCATTTATGCAACTAGGAATGAAGAAATCTGCTTCTGGGTTTATGTGCGTGTGAAATCCATATGAATTCCTGTGAATTCCAGCGATCGATAGCCATGGAGTAAAATAAGGCATGGAAACTTGAAAGGGTCTGTTTAGGCAGGCTTCTTGAAAAGTTTCTACATTTTCTTGTTGGAATGTACATTTCTTAGGCTTGAAGTGTTATGTGGTTCAGTGATGAACTGAGGAAATGTAATCATTTTACAAGGTACTTACATGAAAAAAATACATTTTTTGTAATAAAAAATTTTCATATCAAAGAGCTTAGCAAAAAGATATTAAAATGCTAAATTCTTTTGCTAAACTCAATTTTTCTTCTGCCTTTTCTGTCCTTTTTTTGTCATTAAAAATAATTTAATATTTTGAACGAAGTTCGTTACATTATTAAATGAAGTTGACATGTGTTGATGGAAGTAATAAACAAGCAGAAATCAAGTCAAAAATAAGTGATTAAGTTTATAAATTTTAAAAAAGAGTAATTAAATATAAAATTATGATAAATATAAGTGATTATTCTTACAATTTAAAAAAGGAGAGGCCGATTGTTTTAGGGTCTATCTGGATCTGGAGGAGCACACAGTACCCAGTTCTAATGGTGGAATTTCCATTTCTTTATTGAGTTGGATCCTCTGAAATCTGAATTAAATGAAATGAATCCAGAATGTTGAAATATATCTTCGTTTGGATTGTATGAGGGAATAAAGAGAAGTTAAACATTGGGATAATGTCAATTACGTCATGATTGCATCATATGAACTGAAAATTGTAAAATTAAAATTAAATGAGTTGTGGTATATTGATATATTGTGATGATAATTCATATTTTCTGGGAATTGAAAATAGAAATGAACAACAAAATCTTCCAACCCATGAAGGCCCATCGTGTTGCCCTCGTCAGAGAAGGCCTAACAAAGAGTCTAAGGTAGCCTGTATATCAGCATCTAATGGGCCCCAAAACGCTATGCTGGATAGCTGGTCCAACCACCATCTCTTCAGCAAAACAGCCCATGTTTAAATGTCTTTATACTTTATACATAGAGATTTTATTTTTATTTTATTTATTTATTTATTATTTTTCAGTCAGACTTGCACAAAAAAGAGAGGATAAAACTATTGATGAATCTTCATACCTACTATTCATTAAAGGCAATTTTGTCATTTTATAACCCGTCAGATATTTTTCGTTTTAGTTTTCCCTGAAACAAATGCATCTTGATGTATATATATATAAGGAAAAAGTATGTGGCAGTCTAAATTATATTAGATAGTATAATATTAATTATTAGATAAAAATTAAATTTTTAATATTGAAAGTTATTTTTTTATTTAATAATTTTTATTTTATAATATATTATAATTCAGACGGTAAAACAAGTTTTTTATATGATAATATTTATTTTATAATATATTATAATTCAGATGGTAAAACACAAGGTTTTTAAAACCGGACCGGACCGGCCGGTTGAACCGGTCGGACCGGTACCC